GAACTAATTTTTTTCAAATTTGTGCTGGAAGAGATTCTTTCTGTAACTTGTACTTTAATATACAGAGTGGTTATAAATAATTTTCATCTAGCCAGCTTTGGAATTTTTTTGCATGTAACTTTATTTGTGCCGCTCTACTTTTTTGAAAGCTCTAGTTCTGTCATTAGTGTCACTTATTAATTAATAATAAATTGTAGTTAATTAAATTTTTATTGTTTCAACTAATTTCGAATAATAATTGATAATAATGTATACTTTGGAAGAAAACAAGTTTATAATTGAAGTTTATTTTCGAAGTGGACGCTTAGTAAACGGCGATTTTTTAATTTTGAGTTACAACAAGTAGGTACCCCTATTTTCGTAAAGCGGCATTTTTTATTTTACATGGAAAATTCACAGCTGGCTAGATGAAAATCATTTATAACCACTCTGTACTATTCTCTGCTTTTTAAGTCCTATCACATTGGCGGTTTTATTATTTTGACAGTGATGTCACTAAAAGTTTGCCTCGGGAAGACATATTTTTTTAACTCTAAAAGTTAGGTCAACTTATTTATTTTTCAAAGTAGGTAATTAATATTTTGTATGATTTTTAATTAGAACAAATTTCTTTTGAAAAACACAATTAGATTAATAAATTATCATTTTTAAGTTGTTATTGTATCAACATATATTTGTTATTATAACTGTTTTAAAAACAAAAACACTTTCGTAATAAAGAAACGCAAGCAGGAAATAGAAGAGGAATTTTCTGTACTATATTTAAATTCTCATAGTTCATTCAAGTTCCTCTATTAGAGAAAAAAAAAAAAACACTCCTAATTATTAAATAGACACCATTCCAGTGGCTACGCAATTGGTGTCTATTTGACGGTTTAATTTAAAAGATAATAAAGCAAAAACGGAGATTTTTAATTTGAAAGATTTTTCTCAAACTTTGTCCCCAGATTCAATAACCTTTCGATTCAATAAATAATAAAAACGTGCAAAAGCATTCTGGCACTTTTTTAGTTCTAAATTGTTATTATTTTGATTAGATTTACAAGTTATAAGACACTTTACGAACTATAAATATAAAATAGTTTTATCTAATCTCGTTATCACACACACTTTATTCCAAATATTTTTCGTTTTGCAAAAATAAGAACAATGGTGTTTCCCGGTTTTCGAAACCGTCCCAACAAATTTTTCTTAGTCACTCATAATTTTATTTATTGCGTTATTGTTTTCACTGTAATGGAAGTTTGTTGTAAGAAAATAACAAGCTGATAGCAACTTGTCGCAAATCAAAAACAAATAAACAATTGTGTTGTAAAATCGTCCAATTTTCGTCCGATTTGGGTTATTACAAAGAAACACCCGTCAAGCATGTAAACACACTTTGTTTGCTACAAATGGTGATTCATGGAATGCATTAATTTCATTAACTGTGTGTACAGCCGTACAATTAGGACCCAATTGGAGAAAACCGTTTCCTCAAAATTTTAACCACTCGAGATGAAAGTACCATTTCTGGTCCTTATCTCGCCCAATATTTAACTATGAAATAAGCAAGTTTGAGGGGCGATAAGTCGAAGACGTCCCTTATCTCGTCCAAATATGGAAATTTTGTTTCAAATTAAGCCCAATGTCACAATCAGCCGAATCCACAGTGCGATAAAGCGATTTTAAAAGTCAGCCTTATCGGTTTGGACGTTGTCCTCCGCGCGTTCTTACCCCACTTGGTCTGTTCGTCATATGCGCCGGCGCCAAATGCACATAGCTGGCTACCATACGCCGAAAAACGACCAGTTTAGCCACTGACTTTCGTGGGTTGAGCGTTTTCGGCCTTAGTTAAGTGACTTTCTCCATTTTGTGCTTTCACCCTATTTTTGTGACACTTTTCACCGTCTCAAACCCAAAAAAAAAGTAAGTACCGGCCCGGAATTTTCGAATTTTTTTGCAAAATCATCGCAGATGGCGCCAGCGTTGCGGTGCCAAATTTCGAAAAGAAGTAATCGTGACGAGCCGAAATTTCATTCCATTATTGTAATTGAATGTGGCATTGCTGCTTAAAATAGAAACGGGTGTCGTCGATGGCGGCTTTAGCCGCAATTAACACTTAATTTTGGGTGAAGTGAAGTTTCAGCGGAGAAGTTCCATTTATTTCGGTGTGCGAGTTGAAATTTTCGGTAAACAAATGCCTCAAACTGGAGTGGTCTAGGTCAGTTCGAGTGTCTCAAATATCGAAAAGTTGATTAACATAGATTTGGGATTGCCCAAATATTTGCATCTCATTTAGATAAACGTTTGCTGTTTAACAATGTATTTTTGAAAATCGGTGCGGACTTTAAGACCTGTCACTTGCGGGCGTTTTGACTAACGGCGGGACATTTGGCACGGGTTCATGTCGTATTCTGGGAGCATTCAGAAATGCGCTCGACGCAAAAATCGAAAATCCTCGCGAAAAATTGGATTTGAGCAGTCCACACTTAGCATTTGGAAAGGCTTCCAAATTATACAAGAATCGAATAAATATTTATAAATCCTAGAAATAATTTAGAAACGTGTTGCGCAACACGGCTAAACATCGTTGCATTTGCATATAAATTTACCAGATTTCATAATTATTTTAGTGAGAGTAACTAAACATTCGCAAGATGACCTTAAATTGCCGATTCCGAATTTCTCATCTACGATTGTTTTGTTGCAGGACGACCTTAAGGACGGATACGTGATTTGGCAATTGCGGTGAGTGTGACACGAGATTATTTTCTCGGACGATAAATTCGGTAAAACGGCACTGTAAAAGGACCGATCGGAGATCTCGGCGACGGAATATATTTACGGTTTACGTAACAAGACTGCCTACCTAACTGGTTTCCAGAGACAAATTCACCTGACGATATTTAATGACTTCCAAACTGCTCCGACTTTATTACTCACAAGCAACACTGTGGCGATTTTACAAAATTACGAGGAGTACAGTCAGGGGCACAACTAACGCGGCGCATAGCTGGTTGTATAACAAGACAAAAATTTCACGATTGGCCGATTAAATTTGTACGATCGACTTAATTTCATTATCCGATTGTTTTCCCTCTTTTAATTATTAATAAGTTAACGATAACCCAAACGGTATAGGTTAAACTAGAATGTAATTTACTTATGTAAGTCATTTCGGATCGATTTTGTTATTATTAAACTGCTTAATTCAGTCTGTCCTGGTATTTGTGTTGCAATCAACTCGAAAAAAATCATTCGATTTGTGTGTTTTCCGCCTACGAGTTCGAATCAACACGTCGCAAGTACAGCATTGAATTAACAATGTACCAGCATAAAATCACAATTTGTGAGACTTGAGGAATTTGCTTCATAATGATCTGGGAATGAGAGAAGATGCTGATATTTCCAAGAAGGTGTCTTTTCAGGAGTACTGTTAACATCTTACCGGGCAGCATTAGATTACATTTTATATTTCTAATACTGTCAGGTAAAGATGTCCTCCGGGCTCCAATCCACCACGAGAAGAGTTTGCAAAATTTTTCATTTTTTATTGTGAGTAGACATGCACACGACCTCAAGGCCTCAGGTTATAAAACACATTAATGAAGATGTTTTCTTAACTTCTGTAGCAATTTCTTAATTTGCTTATTTACAATTTTGCAAAATATATATTTGAGGTTACAAATATTTAGGATTTATTTTATTTATGCGCAGTAATCAGGTTTAAAAATAAAGTACATTATACATATTTTACATTAAAAAAAGTTTGTTCTTAGACAAAGTTACCGAAAATATAACTAAAATAAAAAAAAATAAAATTTTTTGTATCTTTTTTTAATTACGTTGATTGTAAAATGTAATATTTGCTATTTTAAATTTTTGGAACGGTTATAGAGTTTATAATTTATTTATTTCAAGGAAATAAATATTTAATTTACAAATATATCACAACCGGTGCTAGGTACAAAACGTATTAAATTTTTTATTCTTCAAAATTGTTTTGTAACTTGCGGAAAATAACAACATTTTTTAAATGCATAAAGTGCTGTCAAGGTTTATTTATTTTGTGGCATAATCAGTCATTACTAATTGAACTGAGCTGCCTTTCAGCAAATTTATTAAAAATTTAAAATTAACACTGCGATTTTGGATTACAACACTAAATAAAACTAGAAATAAAGTGTATTAATTTTGCAAATAATGAAAAAAAAAGGCCTGAAATAAAAAAAGATCATCATCAGTAACAGTAATTTCACAAAAAAAAATTAAGACAATCAAAATTCGTTGCCACATGCAACTAAGATGCTACAATTATGTACAGTTGCGGAATTAAAATTTTGGGCAGTATTGTAATTTTCATAATGTAAACTCTACAACAACCTTTACATCAATAACCTCATTTTTTACTCTTGTCATGTTTATGTCATTCTGACTTCAAAAATAGCGTCACTCAGAGAAAAGTTTAATTGTCCAATATTAGTCATGGATGACACTAAAAGGTAGTTTACAGTGAATTTATGAAGTGGGGTGATTTTAATAGAAATTTTAAGAAATGATAGTGCGAATAGCTTTGACACGTGTGTCTTGATTCTTTTCATGTGTTTTAAAACACAGTTTGTGTTAATTCCTGTTTTATTTTTTAAACCTTGTTTGTTATTATAAGCCACTCCAAACATGTCGCACTCTTGTACACGTAAGTATTTCAACAAGTGGTCTTGTGTAATTAAAATATTTTGAAAATGCAACTTAGCATAAATACATCTTTAAGTACCGGTTTTGAAAATGAAGCGTTTAAATTCGTATTAGATGAAGAGATATTTTTCATAATTACGGGTTTGGGTAACAGCCTTGTTTTAATTGATTTTTTGGGTTTGTTCACCCAATAATTTTCCGTTTGCACTTTTGTATCAATTATTTTTAGATTGGTGATAACCTTTTGCCTGTTTACCATATTTAAGTCTATATTTATGTTAAAAGGTCGTTCAAAATAAGTAATAAACTCGATAAGTTATCAGCTGGGTACTGATTTATTTAATACACATCACAAACTTAATTATTGAAGCTATTTCTGTGATAAACTCGATTTAAATGTATGTAGCAACAAACAACAAAAATAACTGATAATATGATTGGATCGTTTCGATTAGAAAAGACTTTTTCCATGTTGGATGATAATTCGTTACGGGAAACATCCATGTGGTATCTCCACCGGATACAGACACATATTTCAAAAGATATGACACGACATGTGGTTGCTAATGTGGCGATTGTCACTGCGAATTTTCAACAAACTGAACTTTAACTCTTTTCTTAGTCACAATCTTCTTCGTACTCTTTTTCCGCTTTTTCCTCAATTCCATCCTCTGTTTCATTGTTTCTTCTGCATTGGAATCAGGATTCAACTCTAAAATATCGCTCTTATCAAAACATTTCAGACACTTGGGACATGCTTTCATCTCAACATTTTTCATAACCCTTTCGGCGAAAACACACCCGCAGGACCAAAGTGCAACAAACCGGAATTTCCCCGACATTTCGAGTCCTGTCACAGGACAAATATAGGGCGAAGTTTCAATTCGCATAATTGTATCTTCACGAAATTCCGTATTCCGGGTTAGATTTAAATCGAGGACATCTTTCAAGCTTTTAATATGATTCGGCAGCGGTTCTTTATTAATAATTGCTTCGATTACGGCCGATTTGTTGTAAAGTTTGCCCAAACCACATGTAACAATAGGGCGTTGGAGGAGTTGTTGGCTTAGATTGCAATATCTCCATTGAAAAATTAAATGGGAGGTGTGATCTTTCGTCTCGGGTTTCTGTTTGACTTTTACTAATTCGTTACGGCGAGGGATTGTCCCACCGTCACAACCCATTCTTGAGTTTTAAAAAGCACCGACAAGTTGTGATTAATGTCAAAGTGACATTGACAGGAAAAATGGTTGATGACACTCATGCTTGATAATTTTGAGGTCGATCAATTCCTGTTCTTCCTGAATCGGAGTTTAGTGTTTTAAACGAGGTTTCTTGGTGGATACAAATTGCCGACCAATGGCACGCAACTTTTCACAATGCAATAAAGATTAGTTGAAAAGTATTCTTATCAACAAGATTTTTCCTGTGATAATTTTTTTTTGTGTTTTAAATTTCGCACCATTAAAATTATACAATGATTACATTCGGTGTTATCTGGACACCGTTATTGGGGAATGGCTTTTGCGACAAACGTCTCGTTATTTCATCGTAAACGTTGCGGTAATAAATGTCGAAAGTGACAGTTATCATAGCCGGCAAAAACGGAAGTTGATAACAATGTTTGGCAGGAGAACCTGACGGTTTCACTGTCGTAAACACTGCAATAAATGGCACTTTATTGAAATACAGAGTAAACGAATTTAAACAAAATTGTTGTCTGACAAAAATGATAGAAGTTTTATAAAGTTTAATTTTTTACACAGTTTTCAAAATGAAATTATAATAATTACATAATTAAAAAAACACTAATAAATTAATTACACTCTTGACAATATTAGGATAGAAAATACAGGGTGTTTCACACAACTTTACGAGGCTTGCGCCTAATGTACGCACCCAAATATACAAAAGTCACAAAACACTGGATACAAAAAATACACTTCTAACTATTTAATTTTTGGAAACCCATGACAGTAGTTGTCAAACTAATCACTGTTTCATTAATAAACTGTAGTTTTTTAGAAACAATTATCATTTGTTCTATCAAGAGACGGCATGAATATGATTCTAGTTTATCTATCTTAATCACTAACTAAAAACGTTGTAATTTTTTAAAGGTTGAACAAACTAAAAAAGATTATTCAATTTTTCAAAATTTGTAATCGAGTTCGTATCGGAGTATTATTGATTGCATCTTACAGGCGCAGGCCTCGTAAAATTACGTGAAACACCCTGTATGTAACTTATAAATTCAATTTTTTTTATTTCTTTTGTTAATTCTTACATTTTGTCATCTTATTTTTGTGGCCATTATTATTTTATATTTATGAAAAATATTTATGCATGTGGGTCAAATTAAATAGAACTTTGAATGTAAAATATTAATTCATCTTATTTTAAGTATAGTTATCTCAATATGACATATTAAGTACATAATGTAAGTATAAAAAAAAAGATTTAAAATGAAAAAACGAAAAAACAACAAAAAATAATTATCGGATTAGCTTAAAATTGTCAGTTAACAAATTTTTCAATCCGCCTTTTGGTATTATTTTTTTTCTCACTATTTATCACAGAAATTCAAATATTTTTTTGGGTAATTCATCTGTGTGGCAGATAGTGGCGACTAAGCAGATCCCCATTAAATTAATTTATTTAAAGACCCGTTTCTAATAGTTGTATTTACTATTTCAAGCCTAATTTAACAGAAATTAATTAAAGTGACTAGCAAGTAGGAAGTATTGGAAAGTCACAGTCACGTTCTAGCGTTTATACTTAGACATTTCGAAACAATACGAACCCTGACGGTAAGTACACTATTTTTGCATTGTCGCATACATATAATGACAGTTTTTCGGTACCCTATTTTTCAACGGAAATATGACACCTACAACCTAACGTAAACCATAAATAACCATGAAAAGAAAAAACTTTTGAATATACATTATTGTACGATGTTGTATTATTTATTTGTACAAGTTGTTTTTAGTGTCAAATATACGCAGTAACAGCTCAAAAACCACGTAAATATCAAATTTCGACTATAATAAGAAAAAGATGAAGTTTTTTTATAAATGCCGTAAGTTTGCAACCTGTCTGTTCAACCGGCTACATCCACTGCCAATAAATTATATTAAAGCACAGGTGAAACGTGTCATTTAGATATAGGACGTCAGTTATACGTAATTGACATGCATATACCTAGTCGTTAGCTTTAAAAATCCAAAGATGCAATTTCAACGAGAAAAATATTTAAAAAAACATATGGAAAAACTTTTCGTTCTAATTTATTTTAGTACTTTGTTTAAAATATAGTTATTATGTCGTTTGATTAGTCCTGGAGGTAAGGTTGATGGTGCACGCGTGCATATGTGTACAAACAACACTTGCTCGGTCTCATTGACGATTAGAGGAGTGCACGTTGTATCTACTTAAAAGGAAACCGTGATTCAATGCAATTTACAATCAATTTGCAACAGATAGTTGCGTATTTATGCCACGATAGAGACAGACGGCACAGGTATTGCTATGCAGGGAGTGGGTCCTCTCTAAGTGCACAGACCGAATAATGTAACCGGTAAGCGATAACCGGTCCAGGCGGCTCAGCTCAGGTGGGTGGTGGCGGACAAACTGCAAGGAAATTCCACCATCAGAACGCCAAAAATGGACACAAAACGGACACCCTCATCTGACGTCACAACAATCTATGAAAAATCATCCAGGAACTACAAAACAAAGTACGGAAGAAAGGAGAAGTATGCACTAAGACACGAGGCTATACAGTGTGTAGGACTAGCACTGGTAGTCCAAACTAGCAGTAAAATATAGAATTAAAAAAATTACCAGTAGATACAAATTGGAAATTTTGTAGTATATTACAACAGTGATGGGAAATATTCCATTACCATAAAGCTCAAATTAGCTATCCGAAAGACTTGAAGTTATATGAAGCTCGACGGTGTCATGAAATTAGTAAAATTAATCAAATAATCAGTTGTTTCACTCTCACTATAGTAGAATATTTCCCCTCCGTTGTAATAGGTATACTGTTTTTCGTAGACGCAAAACTGCATTCAAATTTTTCTTCGTTTAACAAGAAAAAGTATGTAGAACATACTACACACATACACAGATTGTTAAAAGAGTGGCTAGTATTACCACTTTTTCTACCTAAGATTTATTTAATTTATAGGTATTTTGACTATTAGTTTTTATTAGTGGTTCCCAAACAATCTAAAAATGGGGCCGCAAATTCATCATCAAAAATAACTAAAAAGTGGAAGATAATGTCAATTCAAGAACCAATAAACTAATTATTTCTAATTAGATGTACAGGTTGTCCAGAAAAAACGTTAAAGGATTTTGAGGCGTCAATTCTTAGATTAATATGAGAAAAAAGTTCCTATGGACCTATGTTCGTAAATGCTTTCTAATTTCGAAAGAAATTCGATCATGAAAAACTCACTGCATGGATTGCTTTTCGGAATTAAAGTCAGTGCACGATTTAAGAAAATCCCGTTTTATTTCGAAAATGGTGCGTCTTCCAAAAATAAAAGAAGAGACATTTTGTAAAGAAAATTAATCAGCAAACCACGAATCTGTCGTAGGAAAAATTAACACTAGTAGATTCAGCGCTAAAAAATTATTCCGGAAGCAAATTTTTGTCAATTGACAATTGAAAAAAAAAAGATGTTTTGTTCTTCATTTGTAGAGCTCTAGCTTCCTCTTAGGAAGCATTTCCGGCCATTGGTGCATAGAAACTTTTTTTTTCATATTGACTTCAGGATTGACCCCTTAAAATCTTGACGTTTTATTCGGACAACCTGTATATTTCATAAGAGGGTCCACGACACATCATACTTTTGCCTTGGTGTTCCGCAGCATTTTAAAGGTTGAGAACCCGGAACCAATATAGGGGAGAGAGTATGCATTATACATGTTTTATAGAAATATGTATACAGTCACACCAGTAACATTAGATATTTTTTCTATACTTTCTTCAAAAATCTTTAAGAATTACAAGATAGTTATTTGAGTTTTAGGGAATTTGGAGTTGGTGTTAAAGGGATATTGACATCGTGACTTGGTAAAAAATGCAATATTTTACTGCCTGTTTGAAAAATATTATTTTTAAAGAATAATTCCAGTGCAGTAGAAATGTATTATTACCACAAGTGATTTTATGTCTTAAAAATGAAGATATTGCTGTTATTATTCCGTTTAACTGAGATAAGATCGGTCGTACAATACAATTCCGGTTAAAATCTTTTTGTTTAGATAGTGCAGGGGGTAATAAAGGGTCTCGTAAATATGTTAGTGTTAATGATTATCATCTGAAGGTCCCCCGGGGTACCATCTGGACATCTGGCGGGTCTGTAAAGATAGTTGATGGTTATTGGCAGTCACGCCTTCTTCTGAAATACAACCGACACGCCGTTTCGCAAAATCCTCTCAATCAAAGACAAATTTTGGCGAATTTCACTTAACCACTCTTCAAGCTAATAAATAACAATCCCAGATAAGCCGTTTCGAGTTCAAAGACATGTAAATAAATCCGTCACGAGCCGTTCGATCTAATCGTAACGACAATAAGCATCTAAACGAGATACTTTTTACATAATTTACTAAAGTGTATTTATTCGACTAGCCATTTAAGGAAGGCAAACAGTAGCCTTGTTTGCATTTACTTATCTTTATCAGCGTTATCAG